TATATATATATATATATATATATATATATATATATATATATATATATATGTATATATATATATGTGTGTGTGTGTGTGTGTGTGTGTGTGTGGTGTGTGTGTGTGTGTGTGTGTGTGTGTGTGTGTGTGTGTGTGTGTGTGTGTGTGTGTGTCTACATTTTCTTTATCGTTTTTCCTTTTCATTACGTTATGAAATAAATTAATTGAGCTTCTTATGTTTTCACAGGACGACATTTATTGTTAAGGATAAAAAAGACGCGAGTAATGTTGCTTATACAAGCGAGGGCCTTGATCTGCACTGTGATCTGGTGTGCCTTCATTACAAACCTTGTGTAAGTATAAGGGTATCCCAAAACCCTCATTTTACACTTAAAACCACATTTATTTGTTTTACCTATTAACCTTTTGCATTAAAAAGGCCAAACTAATAAATCAAAATACGATTTTAACTGAATGTATACTTGGTTTCTTCCTAGTTTTATTTTCAGATATCTATTATCCAAATATCTATTTATTTTTCAAATTGGTGATCACTGGCTCTTAGATATGAGTCTGGCATTTGAACGGTTTCCTAAAATATCTTAATTTTTGTTTTCTCTAAAAAATTATAGTTATATCTATATATCTATATATATATATATATATATATATATATATATATATATATATATATATATATATATATATATATATATATATATATATATATATATATATAATATATATATATATATATATATATATATATATATATATATATATATATATATATATATATATATATATATATATGCATATTGACACACACACACAAATATATATATTATTTAAATGTAGAGAAAGAGACTGAAAGGATACTTATCACTTTGTGCTTTTGCCTTTTCCTTCACTTCTCAGTCCTGTTCGCGCTGCAACGCAAATAAGAACAAGAATACACTAAGACCTTTCCGAAATAACTCCTTACTGAGCGCCTCTCCTCCGTTCGCGTCGCAAGGTCCAGCTGTTGCACTGCATCACCCAGTTTTCGGGCGACGGCGGCGACTCCATCCTGGCAGACAGTCACCGCGTCGCTGTCCAGATGCGGGAACTTCACCCTCAGAAGTACCGACTACTCACCGACGTCCTCGTGAACTTCCGCGACGTCGGCGTTGACAATGGGTTCCAGTACGACATCATAGCAAGAAGACCCATGATCAGGTGAGGAGGAGCGGGGCGGAAGGAGGAGGTTCCTGGGACGGAAGATACATTTTTTTTTTCTTCTTTTAGGGTGATGTGTGCGTGGGTTCGTGTACATGGGTTGGTGTACACGAGTTTGTGTGCGTGATAAGCAAGAGGCGTAGCGCTGAAGACTCGATTTGTAAACTTCCTTGGTGTTACAAGTTAACAGCTAGTTGCGTTGTCGGGTCGAGTAAATAGATAAAAAAATACTCATGCACACACACACACACACACACACACACACACACACACACACACACACACACACACACACACACACACGCATATATTTGTAAAAGAGATATATCTTTAGATTTATAGATAAAAATATAAAATATATTTGAACAGAGTATATACGATAAGATATATACGGTATATGAAGTACACAAATGGAAAAGAAAGAATTTTATCTAAGGGGCTTGGAGATCAAAAAGAACTGTGAGGCTCGATCTTTATACTCCAAGTTTAATTAAATAAATCCAAATTAGAGGCCAGTGAGCTGTATTTCGTAAGTAAATGATTACACAAAGCACAAAAAAGCCAACGCGTAAATAGAGTATACAACATAAAACGGACATGATATGAAAAAAAAAAAAAAATCTAGAGTACTTACAGAGATAGCGCCGATAGTATATCACTCAGACCACGCCCCTCCAAACACCTAGCACGACCCTCTCCTTTCGCACAACTTGTAAACAACGCCCTATATTTTGCCCCTTCGTCTCGTCCTCCTGCAGCGTGAAGGCCAACGGGGAGATCAAGACGGTGAACATGAGTACCTTCGGTCGCGATTCCCACTTTGGCATCTCCCCGAAGGAGGCGATCGGCTGGTACGACGCCTACCTCACCTTCTGCGACCTCCTCTACCGCCCCGAGAACCACTTCACCTTCAAGTTGGTACCCGGTAGGTAGAGGCCATTGACGCAGTGATTGTTTTTATTATATTTTTGTATTTTCTTTTTTATGTTTATTTAGTTATATATATATATAGGAGGAGAGTTAGGACTTTTTTGTAATCATTAGGAGTAAAAAAAATGTCTTTTCTTTATTTATAAACACACCCGTACACACGAAAACATACATACACATATATAGACAAATAGATACACACCATTATACCCAAGTGATATATATTGTATAGGATATGAAACAATGCAAAATTTTACTAACTTGGAGCCGCAGTATTTCAGCCAAGATCTGTATCCTGAGAACCAGAACTGACATTGAACGCAAGAACTTCTTAAACGCATACAATCCAATTCTCGAAAACTCAAAACTCTAAAACTTTTAGCCTCTCCACTCACCGCCATTTCTTAAGTCGGCTATCACCGCCCTCCTCTCCCCCGCAGATGAAATCCTCATCATGGATAACCTGCTCTCTCTCCGCAGGTGAAATCATCATGATAACTTGAGGTGAACTTGCCTGCTGGATAACATCATGGCATCCCTGCACATGAAAGCAGGTGGGACAACGCTCTCTCTCCCGCCGCAGGGTGAAATCATCCAGGAGCACGGACACGCGGGCAGGACCAGGTACGAGGACACCGTCGAGGGGGAGCGGCGCCTCGAGGGTGGATTCTGGGACTGGGACATGATGAGGTCGCGGCGTCGTGGCCTTCAGAAGAGACTTGGGAGGGGCGTTGGAGGCGAAGATGGCTGTCGGATTTGAAAAAAAGGAGGGTTTTTGGTCCGGAGGAAAAAAAAAAGAAGGTTATTTGAAGATACCATGAGGGCTCCTTATGGGCCGATGTAATGCCAATGTAATGAATAATGTGGGATGTTTAACAGCTTAAATTTTCGAATACTTGAAACCTCGGGGAACTGCAGAAGACGGAGAAATAGAAAAAAAAGGGAAAGAGAGAGAGAGAGAGAGAGAGAGAGAGAGAGAGAGAGAGAGAGAGAGAGAGAGAGAGAGAGAGAGAGAGAGAGAGAGCAGAGAGAGAGAGAGAGAGAGAGAGAGAGAGAGAGAGAGAGAGAGAGAGAGAGAGAGAGAGAGAGAGAGAGAGAGAGAGAGAGAGAGAGAGAGAGAGAGAGAGAGAGAGAGAGAGAGAGAGAGAGAGAGAGAGAGAGAGAGAGAGAGAGAGAGAGAGAGAGAGAGAGAGAGAGAGAGAGAGAGAGAGACAGAGAGAGAGAGAGAGAGAGAGAGAGAGAGAGAGAGAGAGAGAGAGAGAGAGAGAGAGAGAGAGAGAGAGAGAGAGAGAGAGAGAGAGAGAGAGAGAGATTTGATTTTGAACAGTTTATTTGGATAAATAATACATTACCCAAACATACCCAACTCCTTTGGAGTGACTGGGTATATAGCACCTTATAGATCCTTGGGCAAGATCTTTACAATTACGTTCATATCATTCTACACATGCAAATTGTTTATGTATCCTTAAAATGTTATCAATTACATTAATCATAAGCTTTGTCATTGGTATCATTTCTCTAACTCCCTTTCTGAAAGGTTCTGTGTATTGACATTCCATTACATAGTGTTTCAAATTATGTCCTAATCTTTCACCACATACGCTACACATTTTAAGCGAGTCTTCCATGGGAATATTGCACTCCCAAGGGTACTTGTAGCCTAACCTTAATCGTGCGATGGTGAATTCCCTTGTCCTTCCGCCACCTTTTCTACCGTAAATGTAGTTGACATTTTCAGTTACCTCACTGTACATTTTAACTGAGTTACTCTGAGTCTCCTTTCATCTCTTTTCTTCTTATCTATCCATGTCTTTATTTTTCCTCTTATTTGCTGCATAGATGGACTGATAGCAACATCTATATCATTTTTTTTGTGCCGCTTCTTGGGCTAGCTTAATTGCTTTTTCATTTCCGCTTATTCCGATATGTGATGGAACCCACATAAATCTAGTGCAGATATTATTATCTTTTAGTTTGGTGTTTTGTTTTCTAATTCTGCAAACAATTTCATCATTCAGTTTCTTCTTGCCATTTAAACACTTCAAAGCTGTCTGTGAATCACAAATGATGATTGCGTTTCTTAAGTATTGATGATTTCCATTGCCATAGTGATAGCAATTTACTATCGAGAAGTCCGTCAGCCGTGCTTGTCGCTCTACCACAGGCGCCTGTCTGTTCCCGTCATACACACAGACGGCGGCTCCTGCTCGTCCCGTCACTGGGTTCACGGAACCGTCAGTATATATTCTAAGAAAATCATTATCTGCAATTTCCGATAAAAATTCTCTATACATTACCGAAATTGGGGTATTGTTTTTTCTTAAACCCATTTTCTTAATATAGACATTGCATATATATAATATAATATATATATAATATATATAATATAATATAATATAAAATATTCCATTGCACATGCCCTGGGATATGTTTTGACGTAGCCATGTAATTCCATCACCTTTATCGCATTGCAAGTGTGGACTACTCATGGAAGCTCTCTCACTGGTCTCTCTAAGGCGAGGTTGAGACATTTGGTTGGTCTAATATTTTCATTGTCCCTTATCAATTTACAGCCAAACAATAAGTTCAGTTCAAGTATTCTTTCTCTTATTGAAATTAATTTTTATTCTCTTAATTTTTTTTTATGTTTGCTGTTATAGGACACCCTAATATTACTCTCATGGCTTTGTTTTGTACCTTTTCTAATTTCTCTATTTTGGTTTTGGGCAATGTTATTAACATGGGAGCAGCATAGTCAATAAGACCTAATATATACAATGTACATTTGTCTAAGGACATTTATGGATGCCCCTAGTCTGTTCCATGTTATTGCTTGCAATGGTCTAAGTCTACAATTACACTTTTCAATAAGTTCCCCAATATCGTACAATTTTCGTTTAACAGATACAGTTATACCTAAATATTTGTATTTCCTAACCCATTCTAGGTTTTTGTCATTTAATAATAAATCTCTTGCTTCGCCCCTCACTCCACAATGTGACATAACCTTTGTTTTATCGGTTGATATTATAAGGCCAACTTTCTTACAAACTTCACCAAATTTTACGTGTTTCTTCCATTGCCTTGAATGATGGCGCTTGTAATAAAACATCGTCAGCATATCCTACATGTACCACATGATTAGGATATTGTATTTTGGCTATAATGTTCATCAGAACATTGAATAACATTGGACTTAGTACACCCCCTTGGGGAGTACCCATTTCTAATTTCATCACCCTAGAATAAGAACCTTGAAAGAATACTCTAGCTTTTCTCGTATCTAGATAATCCAAGACAACAATTTTCCTTTGACATGTAGTTTACATAGTTCAGATAATATTATTCTACCTTGAGCTTTATCAAATGCACTCTTCAGGTCCATGAATGCCGAGTATTTGCATCTGCCGTTTGCCGAAGATACAATGCATAAATTTTATAACCATTGATATTTGCATCTAGTTTGTTTCTTATTTTGAACATTAGCCTATTGAGGAGTATTCTCTCTAAGGTTTTTCATAGACAAGATGTTAATGATATTGGTCTATATACCTCTGGATTATTAGGCTTTGGTTTTGGTATAATTACAGCTTGTTTCAAATTTATTCGAAATGTTTCTTGTTAAGTAGCTGCGGTTGATTAAGAAATATAATGGGTTACCCCTAACTTCTGCTAGTGCATTAATGATATCATATGTAACCCCGTCATCCCCAGGAGCAGTTGATTTCCCTCTTTTTAAAGCATTCATAATTTCCCATTCAGTGATCGGATTGTCTGAATTGTCAATTTCTTTCGTAGCACTATCAATTCTATGCCAATGAATTTGTTCACTTTTCTGCAGTTCATCTATTATTACTCTCGGTAGAGATTCCTGGGAGGATGCTAAAGCCCATTGTTCCATTAATGCATCTGCTTTCGTCTCTGCATCTGGGTGGGCTGCTACCTTTTTTGATGATCCCTTTGCTATTCTGATTTTTTCCCAGATTTTTTTTACGAATTTGTTTGCCTGTCAATTGATTCTGTGAAGTCTAACCAATACTTCTCTCTTGCTTCTATTTTAATTTCCCTAGCTTTCGTGGCTAGATTTATCAATAATCTTTTAGATTCCTCCGTTTTATGTACTTTGTGCCTTCTAGATGCTCCCTTTACTATTTTATTATATCTTCGAACTTTATCATCAAAGTACCACATATCGGATTTCTTTTTAATTGATTTAGAGTGAGTATCATCATGCAATAATTCTTCAACTTTTCCAGTTAGATCATCTGTAAACTCATATTTTCACTCATTACATAAGTTTCAAACCACTTAGACATTTCTTCAACAAAAGCTACTTTATGCTCGTCCTTTAGCATTAACCTGTCTACTTTGTTTCTTTGATTTTGTTGTATCTTTATCTCTGTTATCAGAGCCCAATGATCAGATACCAGTCCCCTTTCAACATTCGATGTAGCATCACAATCTCCATACATACAGGAATAATCCAATCTGCCTCCAGTAACATGTGTTTCCTCGTTTGGATTCAAATTCTTAAAATCATCAGTATTCTCCCAATAATGATATAAAATTCTACCATTAAAATTACTAAAGCCAGGAGATCCTAATTCTGAGTGTCGTATTTAGATCACCAACAAGCAGGGAGATTTCTCCATTAAGATATGGTGGAAACATGGTAATATCTAATGCCATTTTGTATGTACACACTGGCTATATTTAGTACAAAATTCCCAAAATGAACTTTTGTCACTAATGAATCTTTTCCTTCACCAAAATCTGAATCAACAACAGTTACAGGGATACTGTTTTTAACCAGAGTAACAAATCCCCTATGACCATTCACACTTTGAACTATAAATTCTTGATATCCGTTTAATCTGCCTGGGAAATCTACTCGAGTTTCATGTAATGTTATAACGTCAGTATCATTTCACAAAATATACTGTATTACTTCCGTGACTCTTTTCTTTAAACTATTAACGTTCCAACTCAACACACTCACTGTTTTAACGTTTCGATCCATTGTTTCTACAGTTATCACTCATTTTGGTAATATACCCTGACAGTTTCTTTGACAGCATTCTGAACGTTTAAATTTCTTCTTTGACGATCTCTGTATCGTCCTTCTCAATCCAGAGTAAAATGTTTGTAAATTGGACCACTGTAATGTTTTTCGCACTCACTAATCCTTCCACCACCTTCTTCCTATTAGCATAATTCAGATCATTCATAAACGCTTTACTTTGATTTTCATTGTCATCAGAACATTGATTGTCATTGTCATTCGAACTTTGCGCTTCTACCATTAGGTTACTTTTGTTATCCACATTCTTAACCATGTCCGAATTTACTATTTCCGGTCTAATTATTCCT